ATCATCGATAGGTTCTCCAGAGATTTATCTGATCAATTATCGTTATATAATGCTATTACAAGTATTACAAGTACTAGAGATACATAGCTCTTTCTGTCTTCTTCGATATAAAATAAATAAACGTCATCATCTTTTGTATGATTGATAATGGATAAATGGAGAGAAAATTAAATATCTGCAATTTTTAACAGGTCTAGACTGGTTGCTGATGATTATCAGAATTTCTAGATACTGCACCAGCCTCTGAATGATTAGAGGAATAATTAAATGTATTAAAGAATATATTTATAGCTTGAATATTTCTGTAACTCACTCGCGACCTGATTATTTGAATAAAATTACAGAATTATATAGATAAATGAAATTAGACGAGTCTAATGCAAATGCGGTTGTTAAAATTGAAATTTACACAAGAGTACATATATATAAGCAAGGGAATAAGACGTGCATTATGTATAAGCGACAGCGAATTGCTGCCAGATGCACGTTCTATTTATGTCATACCGGATCAATTCAACATCGACGAGAACGGAGAACGTTAAACACGCACGTATTGTCTGCATTCATGTTTAAACAAGTGTGTCGTTCCATTTAAATATTTTCCGATTGTCTCTTATTTCTCGCGAGGGAATAATCGCAGTTAATCGTAATTTGCTCTTTCAAACGATTGTCGACTGTATGTTGCGTGTATCGAAATTAATGGCAAATTTAATGCTAAGCATATTTTAAATAGACTAAAAATAAAAAAAAAAAATAAAAAAAATAAAAAATATTTAATGCACTTACGCGCGTAAATATTATGTCAGCGTAAGATGTTTAGAAAATGATGATGAATCGTCCTCTTGACAACTCGAATCTTGTCAACTTAAAAAAGAATTAACTCGTTATATTGACAAAAATCATATAAAATATATTCTGCAGATAAAAAATATACTATAATATGCTTATTTCTCTAATTGCTTAATCGGACACTCGTTCTGTCATAGAAATGCCCAAGAGCTTGTTATTTCTGGTCATCGGCTTGCTCGTGAGGGTACTGGGCTTACCCAGTGGAGCACCGCCGGAGACATGCTTGGATCTGAAGCCGCGTCACCCTGGCAGCTCCTTGCAATCGTCGTATCCACCTTACCAGGTACTACCCGCAGGAGGACAAGGCAGGGTCCGTCTGATCCTCGGGAGCCCCGAGGGTCTCGCATATGAGGGCTTCATGATTCTTGCTAGGGACGTTGACACCGGCGAATACGTAGGGGAATTCGCGAATCTGCCCGATTCTGCGAGAATTGTGGAATGCACTCAAGGCGTAAAGGTACTTTCTGCTGCAATTTTAATTTCGTCGTTCCATTCAATAATGCGTTTTAAATCGCATTGATGTTAAAAAAGGTTTGAGTATTTTTATATTATAAATAATTGAGACAATATTTGTAAACATCAAATAATGTAAATGTAAAACTTTTACACTTACACTTTTTACACTACTTTTTACAAATTAGATTTTATCCTTCTCGGATTTGGAATAAATCTTTTCAAGTTTTTAAAAAATGAGGAGATAGAAAAGGGAAAGAGTTGTGTGGGTTGAATTAAATTTTTGACTGTTTTTTAACTGTAAAACTGTTATTTTTGTGTTTTACGAGATATATCCTAGTAATATGATGTGTCAGAATTTCATTTTTATGCGACATTTTTCATCATCAATCCTTTCTTCATAATTGATAAATAATTGATTAAAACTCTTTGCAACTGATAATTGATTAAAACTCTTTGCAACTGATAATTGATTAAAACTATAAACGAATGATGTGTAATTTCTTATCGAAAAATTTTTCCTGCTTTTTATGTCTAGAATGGCGTGACTCATACAAATACCAACAAGAAACACAATCTTGAATTCGATTGGGAAATTCCGGTTGATTATGAGGGTACCATTATCTTCAAGTAAGTATCGTTGTATAATATTATTCTGCAAAAATTACTTTTTTTTTCTCTCCGAAGTGCTACAGTATGTTCTCCGAAGATTTTTTTCGCACTGAATATGATGCCGTTGATTTAAAATTTGCATATATTTCAAGATCAAGATTTTGAAGTAAATTAAGGTGAAAAGGATAAAAAGTGGCATTTTTGCCTATTTTTAACATTTTTTTATATTAAAAAGAAAGCTTTATTCTAAATAAAGTTTACGATGCATTTAAAAGCACAATTCAAGAGACTTCAATTATGTTTATTAGATATATTTTTCTTGAAAATATAACAGAACGTTTCAAGCGTTTTATATTTAACACTGCATATGAATTGTATTACTACATACTCATAATAAAATAAATAAGTCTACAAAGTATACAAAGTATACAAGTCTACAAAGTCTACAACATCTACAAAGTATATCAAATATATCAAATATAAATTAAACTTTACTTTACTTTTTTATTTGTAGACAATATTTAAACTTAACACTTAAACAAAAACATAGACAATTAATTCTATTATAAACAGAATAAAGAAAATTTCTATAAATACATAACTAAAACAATTTGCATTTTAAATCATTTTAATCAAACAGTTTATAATAAAGTGTCATAAAAAGATGATCGTCGCACTGTATTAGCAGGCAACATTTACCGGTGGATTCAATATAAAAGTCAATTCAAAACCTTTTAATAATAATATTAATAACAAATTCAACATTTCAAAAATTTAATAATCTTAATATAATCTTAAAACTGTAATTCTAAACAAATAAATGTTGATACATATTTTAGTTTATTTTTAAAGAAGTTTAGCGAAATATTTCTAACAGTCCAAAACCAATTTCTAAAATATTTTTAAAATTAAAATATATAATAAAATTGATAAATATGCTATTGATAAATATGCTTAAACCAAATTTATTTAAAAATGGATGTCATCTTTACAATAGATAAACAATAAATAATTATTTAAATTAACGCTTTATACAAAAATTACTTAAGGATAGCTAGAAGACATTTAAATCATTTTGTTGTATACATAAAATTTCAAATATTGTTGAATGCAGTGCCACTTGTAATTTGTAATTCTGAGCTAATTGACAATGTATTCATATTTTTCTAGTTACTTTGTAGTTCTTCTCGTAAAGCGCGACAATCAATTTCATAAAGACAAGAATAGTCAACTAGTCAGATACAACTAATGTAAAATCGTTAAAAGTATTTGACGTTTATTATATATATATATACATATTTAAAATATATGTATAGAAATTTATTTTTATAATATATATTTTTAAATAATTATTATGAAATTAATTACGCGTAAGAATAGTTTATTAAATAATATTTAATAATTTTAAAATAATACTAACGTTAAACGTTAAACGTTAAAAGTTTCTAACGATAACAATTTTTATCTTCTTTGAGATTGATCGTTAGACATTGCAAAGAAAGAGTTACGAAGTGAGAGATAAAAAAAGATGTGAATACCGACATCTTTTAACACAAAAGTAACAAAAATTATTAAGACTGCATTCCGATTTTCACTACTATTGAAATCTAGGATATTTAATAGGAATTACAAATTTACAAATTTACAAATACATTTTTAATACTGGTAGTGATATCGAAGTGATGCACAGAGCAGCATTAATTTAATACCACGCAGTCTTCTTGTTACATAATCCATTAAAGAATGAAACGGGATATCTCACATTCAAAATATCTACATAGTCTCTGCATCATCCAAAATATTTACATAGTGTTTCGTGAATTCAAGGAAGCGCATGTCTATTTTGCACACAGTGTTCTCAAATAGCGAATTAGTAAGAATTAGTGAGTTCCTAAGTATCCATTTCGCAATCTACAAAATTAGCATGGGTATGTTAAATATATCTACATTTTGTAAAATCACTGCTTTTAGAAAGAAAAAATTGTATCATGAAACACAACATAACATGACATAATTATGTTATGAGATTATTTATATATTATATGTATATTCTTTAATGTATTTTTTCAGGCTATTGAATAATTATTAACAGAAAGCATATGTAGAGATAAACTCTACTTTTACTGATAATAAATAAAAAGAATTTTATCACTTCACGAGTTTTGCAAAAATAAAAAGTTATTAATTAATACAAAGATGCGAATAAGAGTGCATTTGCGTGAAGAGGCAGCTCAATTTTACACACATTTTTACAATAGTTAGAAATGCCATGAAATGTTTAGAAATGTGAAATCTATAATTGATAGATTATTTGCTTATTTTTACCCATCAAAACACCTCGCAGTGTTCCTAGCAAAGAAGGCTACCCTTCTACGTAAACCTACGTTTATTCATTTACGAACTTTATTAACTAATAACTTATTAATAACTGGAAAATACGAAGTAATGTAGGATTTTTTTATCCTGTTTTGATTCTATCTGCATACAAACTTGTGTCAATAAGTATAAAGAATCGTGCATATCACACATGGAGCTACATAAGCTTGCAGAAAATATATTGATGTTATCTTATTGTTTTTTTTATAAATAAAATAATTCTTTAAATTTATATAGGTACATTGTTATGGATAATAACATAATTTTAATACACATACGTATGTATTAAGAATAAATAATTTTATACACTCTTGTAAAATAAATAGGAATAAAGTATTATACTTTTATATAATTTCTGATATCTAGCAACATTCAAGCCCAAATTTTTGTAATATAACGCATGAGATTTAATAAAAGAATCGAAATTAAAAAAAATATATATGAAAGTAACGTGCTTGATAAAACTTATCTCATTGAGTGCTTTATAAGAATAGGTATAATTTATGGTAGTAATTAATGCTGCCGTTGTACTAACCTCTCTAGAAAAGCAAAGCGTATAATACATAATATAATAATGTAATAAATATTTATGATTATACGTAAACGAAAAATGGTTATGAAAACGTATTATTACTTGGGTTTGATTTCTTCCCAATTGTTCAGTAAAATGTAATTAAATAAATCATTATTTGCATGTCTCTGAATAACATAATAAAATAAATTAATGTAGTTTTTAATAATGGAGGTTGTGTTAATATCTTCTGTATAAGCAGACACGTAAACATTTTTTAACTCTTTCAACTTATAGAGGAGAGACACGAGATTATGAATATCATTATAGCAAAG